GTGAAGGGTTCAGAGCGCTGGGGCACCAAACATGAAGAGTTTGGGTACAATAATGTTCCTGAATATAAATATAACCTTAATAAAGCTGTGACCCACAGTCTCAGCTGAATTCATGTTGAAGTCAAAGAAGCGTAGCCCAACAACCAAAAATAATTTCAAAAGTAACTCAAGTCCTTTATCTGCATTTCTCAAATACTAGTAAAGAAATATAGATGCACAATAAGATACCTTAAAATCTTCCTTAGGCTCCCCAAATCTTCCCTCACCCATCTCTTTATCCAATGTACACCTTTTCCTTTGAAATGCCCCTTGAACTCCTCATCCTTGAGAAGTCCTGACTCTACATATGGTGGAAGTACCCATGTAGTAAATGGACTTGCTAACTATTGCTCATTTCTGAGCTCTAACGAAGACATTTTAGGCAGAGGAACCGGCTTGGGAAACCCCACAGGGAGCTCTGGGGACCACATGTGACTCATCCCGGCTGGAGCACAGATGGGGAAGTAGCAGGGGACCTGGTGTGCACGGCCAAACAGCTCACCCGCCCCCAGGAGGTGGCGGGCGCCAGGGCAGGAACATCGCAGGGCAGTGACCTAACCAGATACACATTTCAGAGAGCCCACTCGCGCGCCAGCGTGTGAGAGGTGGGACAGGGTTGCCAGGAAGCCTCGCAGCGGTAGGAGGTGATAGCAGTGGGCTCCCCTTTCTACTCTGGCAGCGACAACCTGAGGCAAGTGCCAGGACCTTCGCATATGTTAGTCATTAAACCTCACAAAAAGGTACCAGCTATGTCCCCAGTTTACAGATGAGGACACTGAGGCTCACAGAGGCTAGAAGTGGCAGAGCTGGGGTTTGAACTCAAGCAAGCGGGAGGGGAGGTGGCTCCTGATTCGCTTCAGGAGAAGTGGAGAAGTGGAGGAGATGGGACCTGCCGGGCGGGTGCGCCGCGTACCGTGTCCAGGTGGCCGCCCCACCGCGCTCTCTGCTCCTCCGCTCCCAGGTTCCGGCAGCTGATGGCAGAGCAGGAGCCCGAGGTGCAGGAGGTGTCCCGGCTGTTCCGCTCGGTGCTGCAGGAAGTCCTGGAGACGATGAAGCAGGAGGAGGAGGCCCACAAGCTGACGCGGCAGTGGAGCCGGAGGCCCCGCGGCAGCCTGGCGCTAGCCGCCTTCAAGGCCCGCGCGCGCATATCCCCCTTCGCCAGCGACATCCGGACCATCTCTGAGGACGTGGAGCGGGACACGCCGCCGCCGCCGCCGCCGCCCCGGACCTGGAGCGTGCCCGAGTTCCGGGCGCTCCAAGAGGACTGACCCACCCACCCCTGAGTCACCTACGGGAGGGCATGAGAAGCCTGTGACTGTCCAGGGTCCTGGAACCTCCAGACGCCCCCTGACGAGGGAGGCCGAAGCAGCCACATCCCAAGACACTCCCGTAAGACGGAAGGACCCCTCCCCGCCCACCCTCTCCCGCTGGCTGCAAGGCCCAGAGTTGGGGCTTGGGGCTGCAGGCGTGCCAGGGAGCAGGAGCAGCCCCTTCCTACTCGCAGAGATTCGGGGTCTCGGCAGACAGACCACAGCCCCATCCCCCGCCTTCTGCTTCTATCTGGAGGGGGAAGCATTGCCCTGCCTTTTTGCCAAGATCTGAGTTGTCACCCCCACTTCAGTGCCGGCCGTTTACCCCATCTCCCAGGGTAAAGATGAGGGACTTGTTGGGTGGTGTCCATTCTCTGCTGGTGACTGGGCTGGTTTCACCACCGCAGGTGGGTCGCAGCCTCGTGGGCGAGCAGAGCTGGAAAGGGCCACAGGGACCACTCGGTCCCACTTTCCTGACTAGTGAATGAGGAAACTGAGGCTCAGAGAGAGCCAGGCCTCTTCCACCTTAAGCTGCAGCCAGGTCCCCATGCACAACGAGAGTGTTGCTGTATACACGGTCTCTGCCCCTGAGTCCTCGAGTCCTGGGCTGTGACGGGACAGGTCCAAGGGCTATGCTTGCACCGGCCCGTGTTCTGACCCATCTCTTACGTTGGCATTGGCTTGGGGGTCTAAGCTTCTCTCCTAGAAAGGTCGCCGGGGGCGGAGGTAGGTTGCTGTCACCCCACCCCACAGCGTCATCACCTGGGAGGCGGCCAGCAGCTGCTTCCAGAGATTAAGCTTCGAGGCCTTCTGACTCACTGCTCTGGGAAGCCCAGGTCTCTGATTCCAGGATCCCTTCTGAATCTGGTCACGCCTGCTCTCTGGGTTTTCCCATGGAAAGTGACGCCCAAACCCCTAACTGATGTTGAGGCACCTGAATAAAATGTTCTAGAAGAACCTCCCTACAGGCTCACTGTCCTTCCATTTCTTACACTGTCAGATCTTGATGATGGGCATGTAGGGTCTCCAATGTGTGGATTGCCTATGGCAAAACTGGAAGGCCAGGTGGCCTGTAAACAAAATGCCAGGAGGAGATAAGTCAGCAGGGGAAAGTCCATATATCCTCTGACAAGCTCAACGGAAAGATTTTTTGAATATTCTGATTTTAGGTGATTTTCACACAAATCTAGAGAGACAATCATAGGATGCTGGAAAACCTCTCATCCAACACTGTCAAGATAGAGTTGATTGGCTCATTCACATAATCGGTAAAAGTTGAGAATCACTTCAATAAAAATACATACCTTAAACATCTTACATATTTTATGTTAAGACATTAAAAAGTTCATTCAATTGCCAAAGTTTTAATGTAGGCCCAAGCTGTGTTCACTATTTTTTGTGACATGTGGGTTGTCCGATGGGAGTTCTACACTTGTTTTATTTGCTTGTGTGTACTTCAGTCATAACTGTAAGAACAATTGGCATAAACAAATTTTGGAACAAACAGAAGTGACCCTTGGTAAGCAGGCAACTCAGTTGGTAGGGGCAGAAGTATTGGGGGAGAGCTAGAAAAGGATTTACTAGCCATGAGCTTTCTGGGTGCCCTGGATGTGGGCCAGCACGTTTTGAGAGAATGGAGGGTCAACCTGGTGGGGGCAGGGGTCAGAGGAGGTCAGTGAAGAGAATGTCTACTGCTTTCCTTCTTCCCCACCACCCTACATGTATCTATTCTCCCCCCGCCCCCCCCCAAAAAAGCAAGAGCCAAGGCTCTCAATGTCATGTTCTTTTTTAAGTAACTTGCTGCCCATGAAAACTTTTCCTGCCCACTTCAGTCAAGATAGACAGGTCCACCAGCCGCAGACGCTGGTGGTCCTACTGCAGTGAATCCCGACGGGTGGTGCTCAAACCTGTGAGAAGGCACTCCTCTGGGTACAGGTCGTTAAAGGGAGTAATGATATCTACTTCAGTTTCTAGCTTAAAAACTCAATAACAATTCAATTAGAGAGCAAAACATTTTGAGAGGCTCCTTGTGAGTGTGTCATAGCAGCTAGTGGCAGTTGAAAGGATGGGTTGAACAAGCCCAAAACTCACAGGACAGTTAGCACGCAGTTCAACACCACTGCCACTAGAGGGAGCCAGTGGGGGGATTGGATCACTCAATGATTACGTTTTATTTCACTGTGGTTTTTAGTTTTAGGGTTTTTTTACTTGTTATAAACATTTTCAAACACAACAGAAAAGTACAGGGAAAAGTGTAAGGAGCCCCCATATTCCCATCACTAAGGTTTAATAGTTATTAACATTCGCCAGATTTGCTTTATCTATTTTTTGTGTATTTTAAAATAAATCCCAGGCATTGTGACATTTCATCCCTGAATACTTCAGTATGCACTGAAAAGGAATAAAGAAAATTTCCTGTGTCACTACAATACAATACTATCACTCCCAACAAAATTAACAGTAATTCCTTAATATCATCTAACACCCAGTCCATATTCAAATTTCTCTATTCCCAACAAATGATTTTTGCAGTTTATTTTCTTCTTTTAAGATTTTTATTAACATACAATATGATATTGGTTTCAGGGGTACACTATAGTTATTCAACATTTATATACCTAAAGAGGTGATCACCATGGTAAGTCCAGCAATAATCTGACACCATACCACGCTATCACAATATTATTGACTATATTCCCCATGCTGTACATTACATCCCATGATTTGTTTTATGCCTGGAAATTTGGACCCCTTATTCCCCTTCCCCACCTTTTAAATTTATTAATTACAGTTGACATTCAATATTATTTTATATTAATTTCAGGTGTACAGCATAATGATTAGACATTTATATAATTTACAAAGTGATCCCCCTGACTAGTCTAGTACCCACCTGGCACTATGCATAGTTATTACCCTATCACTGACTATATTCCCTATGCTTTACTTTACATCCCCATGACTATTTTGTAACTGCCAATTTGTACTTTTTAATCATTTCAACTTTTCCACCCTGTCCCCAACCCTCTCCCATCTATCACCTCAACAAATCTAGTACCCATCTGACACCATACATAGTTATTACAATATTGACTATATTCCTTATGCTATACCCTACATCTCCATACCTACTTTGTAACAACCAATTTGTACTTCTTAATCCCTTCTGCTTTTTTCACCTACACCCCCAAACCCCTCCCATCTGGCAACCATCAAATTTTTTCTGTATCTATGAGTTTGTTTCTATTTTGTTAATTTTGTTCTTAGGTTCCACATATAAGCAAAATCACACTGCCTTTGTCTTTCTCTGTCTGATGTACTCTACTCAGCACTACACCTTCTAGGTCCATCCATGCTGCCACACATGGCAAGAACCCATTCTCTTCCATGATCAAACAATATTCCATTATATATATGTACCACTTACTCTATATCCATTCATCCATCGACAGATACCCAGGCTGCCTCCACATCTTGGCCATTGTAAACAATGCTGCAAGTAGCATTTGGGTTTCTTTGTATAAACACTCTGAAGTGGGATTACTGGGTCCTTCATTGTCTCTTCTTATAGCCTTTGTTTTAAAGTCTATTTTGTTTGGTGTAAGGATTGCTACCCCAGCTTTTTTTGTTTCTATTTCCATTTTCATGAAATATCTTTTTCCATCCCTTTACTTTCTGTCTGTGTGTGTCTTTCAATCTGAAGTGAGTCTCTTGTAGGCAGAATATGTAAGGATTTTGTTTTCTTATTCATTCATCCCTCCTATGTCTTTTGACTGGAGTATTTAATCCATTTACATTGAAAGTACTTGTTGATAGATATATAGATATTGCCATTTTATTATTCATAATTTTTATTTTTATTTTTTCTGTCTTAAAGAAGTCCTTCTAACATTCCCGTAATACTGCTTTGGTGGTGATGAACGCCTTTAGCTTTTCTTTCTCTGGGAAGCTCTTTATCTCTATTTTGATTTTAAATGACAGCATTGCTGGGTAGAGTAATCTTGGTTGTAGGTCCTTGCTTTCCATCACATTGAATGTGTTGTGCCTATCCCTCCTGGCCTGCAAAGTTTCTGTTGAGAAATCAGCTTACAGTATTATGGGAGCTCCCTTGTAGATAAATAACTGCTTTTCTTTTGCAGTTTTTAGGATTCTTTTTTTGTCTTTAACCTTTGCCATTTTAATTATGATGTGTCATGGTGTTAGCCTATTTGGGTTCATCTTGTTTGGGACTCTCTGCACTTCCTGGACTTGTATGTCTATTTCCTTCATCAGGTTAGGAAAGTTTTTAGTCATTATTTCTTCAAATAGATTCTCAATCCCTTGCTTTCTCTCTTCTCCTTTTGGTACATCTGTAATACAAATGTTGTTACACTTGATATTGTCCCACATGTCCCTTAAACTTTCTTTTCCTTTCTTTATTCTTTTTTTTTTTCTTTATGCTGTTCCGATTGGGTGTTTTTTTGCTTCTTGTCTTCCAAATCACTGGATTGATCCTCTGCTTCATCTAATCTGCTGGTGATTCCTTCTAGTGCATTCTTCAATTATTGTATTCTTCACTTTTGACTGGTTCTTTTTTACGGTTTCTAAGTCTTTTTTTGATGCTTGCTATCTCTTTGTTAAAGTTCTCACTAAGTTCCTTGAGCATCCTTATAACCAGTGTTTTCAACTCTGTATCTGATAGACTGCTTGTTTTCATTTTGCTGGAGTTTTCTTCTGTTCTTTTATTTGCAGAATTATCATTTATGTATAGTCATTAACTTATTGCTTATTAACACTAATGTTTCATAAGCATTCTAAGTTTAAACAATACTTCATTGTGGAACACTATATAACCAAGAATAAAACAGATTACAACTTTCTTGTCAATATGTAGGGCTTGATTAAATCCTCATTAAAAGAAATAAACTGTTGAGAGTTTGAAGAGGGAGAGATCTTTATTTTCTGAAACCATTTTTGTAGGATTGGTAATCTTCTTTCCTTAAGTACTATATTTCACTAGTGAAGCCATCTGGGCCTGGGCTTTTCCTTGTGAGATTTTTAGTTACCAATTCATTTTCTTTACTTGTTATTGTTCTATTCAGATTTTCTATTACTTCTTGAGTTAGTTTTGTTAATTTGCATCTTTCTAGTAATTTGTCCACTTAAGCTATCTAACTTGTTGGCAAAAAAGTTATTCATAATGTTTTCTTATAACACTTTTAATTTCTATAGGGTCAGTAATCATGTCCTATCTTTCATTTCTAATTTTGGTTGATTTGTGTCTTTTCTCTCTTTTTTCTTTCTTGATAAGTACAGTAAGGTTTATGAATTTTGTTGATCAAAACAAACAATTTTTTTGTTTCAAAGAACCAACCTTTGGTTTTACTGATTTTTATATATTGGTTTTTCTTTCTATTTGTTTGATGTTTGGCTCTGTTCTTTATCATTTGTTTCTTTCTGCTTGCTTTGGGTTATTTGCTCTTTTTGTTTTAGTTTCTTTAGGTAAAGTTTAGATTGTTGATTTGATACCTTTTTTCTTTTCTTATATAGGAATTTAAAGTTATAGGTTTCCCCCTGAGCACTGCTTTGTCTTTGATAGATTTTTTTCAAGTTCAAAATCTTTTCTAATTTCTCTTGTGATTTCATCTTTGACTCATGGGTTATTTTATAGTGTGTTTTAAAATTTCCAAATATTTGGAGATTGCCTAAATGTCTTCCTGTTGTTGATTTCTAATTTAATTTTACTATGATCAGAGACACAAACTTTGAATGGTTTCAGTACTTTTACATTTATAGAGAATGTTTTATGTGAGACTGAAAAGAATGTGTATTCTGCTGCTATTGATTAAATGTTCTATAGATATATTTTTACATCAAGTTGATTAATAGTGTTTAAGTCTGTTATATCCTTACTGATTTTCTGTCTACTTTTTCCATCAATTATTGAAAGCAGAATATTGAAATCTCCAATAATTTGAGTTGTGTATTCGCTTTTCAATTTTTGTTTCATGTATTTTTTAGGTGTATTGGTTTCCTGGGCTTTTGTAACAAATCGTCAAAAACAAGGTGGCTTAAAACAAAAGAAGTTTATTCTCTCACAGTTTTGGAAGCTAGAAGTGCAAAATCAGGGTATTGGCAGAGCCGTGCTCCTCCTGAAGG